TGAATGTGTACGGAGTCGTTGGGATATCATGGGTGAACACAGAGTATAGAAAAGGGGCGATGTCGCTACCTTGTGGGACACCTGCTTTTATAGGGTGACATATTGAGTAGCTATTTTTGAGACGAACGGTGAAGAAGCGGTCTGATAGATAGGATTTTAAGAGTAGGAAATAGGGGGCTGGAAGGAACTTTTTTAATTTAAAGAGAAGTCCGTCATGCCAGACCCGGTCGAAGGCCTGGGAGACGTCGAGAAAAACGGTGGGACAGAATTCTTTTTTTTCTAAAGCGTTGGAAATATGGTCGACAGTTCGGTGAAGTTGGTGAGTGGTGGAGTGGTGGGCTCTGAAACCGAATTGTGTGTTCGGGATGATATTAGCATTAGTGGCAATGGAGAGGAGCCTTTTTAATAAAATTTTTTCAAAAATTTTTGATATGGTGGGAAGAAGGCTTATTGGTCTGTATGATTCTGGATTTTCGGGTGGTTTGTTTGGTTTGAGAATAAGAATTATGATAGAGTGTTTCCAGGCCTTAGGAAAGTATGAAAGTCTAAGCAGTGCATTAAATAAGTGGGATAAATAAATTATGACTTTGCGTGGTAGATTTTTTACTATAAAGTTGGTGATTAGGTCGTGACCTGGGGATTTTTTGATAGGAATATTTTTTATTATATAGTTTATTTCTTCAGGGGATGTGGCTTTAGCAGGCGGAGACATTGGGAGAGGAGATTCAAGGTAGTTTTCAACTATTTTCAGTTGAGTTGGACTGGGTTGAATATCATGAGGACAGAAGGAGTTTTTTAGGTGCTGAGCTAGAATATTAGATTTATCGGTGTCAGTAATGGCCCATGAATTGTCTTCTTTTCTAAGAGGAGGGGTGGGTTGGTTTGTTCGTAGAATATTTTTCGTTGCTTTCCACAGGGACATATTTATAGTGGTTAAAGATTTAACGTAAGTGTTGTATGATTGGTTTTTGTAGTTTTGGATTTCCTTTTTTATTTGGATGTTAAGTTTGTTTAGTTTGGTCTTGTCATTGGGATACCTAAAATTTTGCCAGCGAGCCCAATAAAAAACTCATAATAAATTAATTGATTTTTAATTTTACATTTATTTACTAATTTATTTACTATACCTGCTCCCTTTCCTTTAAATACAGAAATGTTAAAACCAGGGGCTGAAACCTTTTGACTTGTTTGCGATTTTGATTATAAAAACCGTTTTGGGCCGTATGAAATTTTAGTTAGAAAAACCGGAAAAATCAGCTCTAATCGGTTACATAACAAAGTTTACTTGTACGCTATTTTTCTAGCATATTTTTAATTACATTGATTACTACTAATATTTATTTTTTTAAATTAAGTATGCGGAATATATTGGACTGAAACTTAAAATTAATTTTGAGTATTAATTATTTTAAAAGATATTAATTATACATTGGCGTTTTCACGGAGAGATATTGGGGATAGAACCCCTTATGAGGAAAATTAATATATGGTTAAAATGTAATTTCGAGGAGGTAGTATCCAAAATTATTGTGAATATCTTTAAGTATTCTAATTATAAAAAAACATGACATAGTTGGGTCCAGTATAGATTTAATCTGACTGTGATTAAAATCACTATCATAAGAAACGCTTCAATGCAAATCTGTGGATAGTGTTTAATTCTAAGATATTGGTGAATAATTACAAAAGCAACATCAACTTCTACTTCCTTAATTATATCCAGATTAGTAATTCTTTTACTTGTATATTATATAATTTTTATAATTAATTGTTTTCAAATTATTATTGATTTTTAATATGTTAAAAGTAATAATTTTTAACCTACTTATTTTTGTCCTTTAAAGTGAAAGTTTATAATAAAAAAAGAATGAATTTATTACCATAACTTTTACCTCAATTTGCAAGTTTGAAATTGACATCATTAAATAGAAAAAATGGTATTGTTAAGATTAATATGCAATTAGGAAATTTTATAATTGCAATATACAGTACATTTTTTATTTCATCCATTGTTAAATTCAGGTGAAACTAAAAATCATTTTTTTTTTAGATTTGATTTATATAGCAACATGCTACGAAAAAATTTGGAATGTTATAGACTGTTAGTAGCACACACAAATAGAGAAAAAAATTAAATAAATTTCAAAGTAAAATTATTTAATATCAAATCTAATACGACAATATACTTTAAAAATATTAGAAATGAATGATTTTAATTGTTTCCATGGATGAAGATGGTTAAGCTACTTGTTATTTGATGAAGGGATTTTTTTAAATTTTTGAGGGTAATGTCATCAACTAAATACGAATTGCAATCGTTTGACGTATCATTGAAAAAAGTAGGTTAAGTGAGGGTTGGAAAAATAAATCGCGGCCTAAAAAAATCACATAGTAAAATAATATTAACATGAATGTAAAATTTCTTCTCACGAGGGGATATTATAGTGATGGGATCCTTGATATTTATTGAAGTTATTGAATCTTAATGAGATAAAAATCAAGTGATTTGAAAATTTTTTTCTAACTAAAAAAAATATTATTAGGCAGAGGCGGATGCGAACCTCGTACCCTAAACTTAAAAGAAACAAGTGTTACCAATTCGGCAACTGTTCGTTGCTTTCGGGGCATGATAAAATTAGTAATTTAAGGTAATTCAAATTTAAATATTACTTTTTCGAGTTTAAAAAAGTAAAAAAATTTAAATAAATTAAATTTTTTATGTCTTATGAACTTTATTCTATGTCAATTAAATTATATAATATTCATGAAAGTCAGTGTATTGCCTTTATAAGTGTAATTTTGTTCAATAATAAGTTGATCGATTCTACAATAATTTCAGCTATTAGAAATCAACATTTTACGTTACGTTTGTAACTTAAATTGTACACAGGGTTTAGAGCTTATACAAACATTTTAAATTGTTTTTTTCAAATAGAATTTATTCCTAAGTTTGTCGTGAACGGCATTTTTTAATATGTGTCAACATTTAACAGCCTTTTTATTTAAATGTTAAGATTATATTTTATTGGTGTTTTTAATTTATAAGTATTATATATATTAACCTTATATTAATTTTTTATTGCTTATGTATCTTATAAAAATAGACATAATCACGAAATAAATTATCAGTACTCATAGTTAACGTTACATTGTAGTATTTACTTTGACTCTTCCTATTGGTACTCTTCCAAGTGGCTGGAAACGGGCGTAGAATACCTTGCTTCACCACAACATATTGGAAAAGATTTTCATTGTTTTTTTTATAAAAAACGTATACGTTACTTTAGACGATACATTTAATATTTTAATATAAAGTTTAATTTTTGTTTCATTATACATAAACATATACAAATTATTTAGGAGCTAATAGCACACATCTAAAAATTGAATTTTGTTTTTTATTTATTTGTTAATAGTTGACCTAAATCTTAAATACGAATACTTCCAATGAATTCAACTATAATTTTCAACTGAATGAGTTATTCTTTTCTTTGCCAAAGTAAATACTAAATTTCTGTTTTCTTTTTTCGTTGCCAAACAGTATTGATGACATTTCATAATAACTCGTTGAGGCGTAACTTAATTTTTTATAACTTCTATTATCTCAAACTTTTTCTGATACTAACATTTTGGTACCTTCATAACATGTATAGTGATAAACATGATAGAATAAAAAAGCGAAGACCATTATTCACCACAGAAAACGTTCATCTCGACTTTATCAGCGTGTTACAGATGGGAGGCATTCACAAACTTCGGCTCGTTTTGCATGTCATCCGCCAATTTGGCATCAGTCCATCAGTTCCGTGTGTTATTTTTCATTTCGAACGATATTTAATATGGTTATACGAGAAAAAACGAATATTATTATCATTTGGCAAATCTTGTTTTGTCTATTGAAATATCACATGAATGTGCAAATTCGAAGTAACGTAAATTTTTATTTAATCTTTTATCTCGAAAAATAAACAATGATATTAAAACGACCTTTTTTTGTTAAAAAATAAAAACATTTTAACAATCGTACGGAGAAAATATTTATTTTCTTTTATTAACTAAACAAAATGTATACAAGTAACTATAAACGTAATAGCGTTAAAAAAATTATTTTATAGTTTAAAGAAGGTCGTATTTTGAGAGAATATTTTTACAGCCTATATTTGCAAATAATAATACTAATTTTCCTTAAAAAAAAAATAAAATTATAATAAATACAACAAAAACAGGACAAGAAATCAAAATGATTTCGGTTTTTGAAAGTTTTTCTTATTTCTAGTAGATTAATTCATTTATCGATTTTTTTTTTAATACATGTTGAAAAAACGATTAAAATAACTAAAAATATAATATGATCACTTTTGTGCTTAAAATTTCTTTAAAAAAATTTGGTTAGAGTTGTAAAAGATATTTCATAATACTTTCGGTTTCTACCGTTATTTATCTTCCAAACTCTTGAAAAAAATTTGATATAGGTTAACTAACTTAATAGATATAGAAAAAAAGTTCGAAGAACAGATGTCATTTCGTTCCTAGCTCTGAGTAACAACAATTTTTTTTTTTTAATTTTATATATTAAATAAAAAAATGAACTTTTTTACAGATATAATAAATCAAAATCAAAACCGTACAAAAGAAATTAAAATACAAAAATATATGTTAATTTCTATATTAATACAGTTTTAATTTTATCTCAGTCCAAGTCTAAGTCTAACAATATATCTATAAAAATATAAATTAACAGATAATCATAACTTATTTCTAAACATCAAAATATAAAAACAATTCACTAAATAAATAAGTTAGTACCAAAAGAAAAAAGAGACAACTATAGTTGTAATAATAATAATTATTTTAATTTTAACATTTTCATGTTTTATTGAAAACATAACTTTTAGTTAAATAATAAAATACAACACTGTACATCTTTTTAATATTTGATTTTTATAGAATTTAAGAAGCTAAAATTGAATTGTCAATAAAAAATAAAATTAAAAGATTAACTTCAACATTTCATAAAAATAATCTGTGTCTTTACTTAGCAATTTTATAATTATTGGATAATTAATTAAAATAATTTTCAATAAACACTAAATACTGCAAAGTTAAAAATTATTGATTTATATGTATTAATGAAGTGAAATTCTTTTACTAAAAATATAAAATAACAACAAAAAATTATGCGTATACTGATTAATTATCACAGTTTTTTTTTTATTAATTTATTTTAGTATAAGGTCAACAATATCAATTTAATCTATTGGAAGACTAGATATTATTTTCCTTGTGATTTTCTAAAATCAAAAAATTATAATTAAATAATTAAAAATTAATATTATTTTTTTTAATTAAAATTTTTCTAATATTTTACCTAATTGGAAGTCTACTTAAGGGTTGTTTTTTGTAGGTCTTATCTAAAGTTTCATCTGATAATGATTTTTCAGATTTTTTTCCTGCTTTACTGGAATTATTACTTTCTACACAGCATGATTGAGGTCTTTTTAATATTTGTTTGACCAGATTTCCATTTGTATCTTTGGTAAGATTTATATTAGAAGTCACCATTGAAGGAACACTTAACCGTTTGCTGCGGTTATTATAAGCAGATCTTTTAATAACACTTCTTTCACGTATAACAACTTGTTGATCATTGAAGCTTGCTTTATTTTGAAAACTACTAACAGAAGAAACTACTCTACAATTTTTCACAGGTAAATAAGAAGTTTTTTCTTTATGTAGTCTGTTGAACTGAGAATCATTGACTGTTTGAAAAACTGCTGTGGGAATTTTAGATGAATGTTCAATCATTTTATTCATGGAAACACCGGTATCTTTTATAAATTCTGACTCCAACATGCTTTAAATAAGTATAAACAAATAATAATAAAAAATGATAGTTAAAAAAATATACCATAGAGTTTAACTTACAATATTTTTTTGGTCCTTGATATTTTTTCATCTTTATTCAATAATATTAAATCTTAATAGAAAAAATAATTAAAATTGATTGTTAACTTATTAAAAATAATTCACTTACTTTCTTCTTCTATTTCACTATGTGACAATTTTTCCTCAATTAAACATTTCAAAAATATTCCATTATTTTCCAAACGAATACGTTCACTAGATTTCATGAGCAATAAACGAGATTCTTCTCTACATTTCAATATATCTTCATCAGATGGTGTACACATAGTTTTCTTTCCCTAATTAAAAAATCAAAATTATAAAAAAAAAAAAAGCCAACAAGGTAAAGTTGTGGCATAATTGGGACAAGTATAGATATCTGAAAGTGATTAAAATAAATATCATAACCAACTTAACTTAATTATAACTACAAGTAACTTAACTATGATTAATCATAATTTAGTAGCATTATAACTTATAAAATAATGGGTCAATAGTTGTGATTGACCAGCGATTTCATTTATTAGATCATTTTTATTTCTATATTAGTTAAATATGTATGTTGCCTTAATAAAAATAAAGTTGACATGCTTATATAGTATAAAGATAAATTAAAAAAGTACTTAACAATTGATAAGTCAAGTATATGAAACTAAAAAATATCAAGATGTATTTTCTAAATATAATTATTTCAAATGAAATAAAATGGTTAAACGTAGTTACCGAGTGGCCATTAAAAGAATCACTTGTACTTTATTACCTCAATTTATTATAAACCATTGATAGCTAAAATAATTTTTTTTAAATAACAGCCCTTTCCTTATAATATACACATTGAACTAAAATGAAATTGCTAAAATTCTCCTTGAAAATATTTAAAACTAAAACATACATCATTTTTATAATTTTTTTTTTAATTGAAACTTTTTTACAGAGAGTGTAGAAAAATAAATTGCGCACCACGGTGGCTGTCACGGATGGATTCTATTGTTTTATTAGGTCAAAATTTTATTTTTCAATGAATGTAGAAGATCAATAAAAGTTTAAGTTTGATAAATATGTGTTCAATAAACGTTTAGGTTCTATGATTATTTGCAATTTATTGTAATAATATAAATAAATGTTTTGAATTTTAACTTCATAGATCTTGATTTATAATATTATAATACAGTAGAACTCCAATTATCCGAATTAATGGGGACCGGGACCCATTCACTGACTAATCAAAACAAACAATGACAGGTGACTGCAATGCGCCGGAACTGGAGTGGGAACTCTTACCACGTGTTGTGCCTACACTGACGCCGCGGACTTTGGACAAATTTTTTTCTGATTTTTTCTGAAAGTGATTCGGATAATTGGAGTTCTACTGTATTTAATTTTAATTAAATTATTACTTTTTAATAAAAATAATTTATTAAAAATAAATATACATAAATAATTTGATAATTTAATTTAACTTGATCTAAATTTAAAAAAATGCACTACATTTTCTAATTAAAATAATTTTTCAAAATATATAAATAATTTAATTACACAAATTTAAAAAAAAAATGTACATTTGAATACATTGTAAATTAAATAAATTAATACACTTAAAAAAACATTTCTTTAATTTTCGAAAATAAAGTGCCACATGTAATTCATACCATGCTTTAATTAAATCCATTTATTTTTATCATTATATTTATTATTATAAATAATTAATATAAAAATATAAATAAACAAATATTATCAAATAATAATATAAATATAATTTATTAGTTATATTATTATTCTATAAAATAAAAATAAATTTAGATAATATTTATTATTTATATTAATCGTTTATTTTAATTAATAAGAAATATTTATACTTTATTTTTATAAGTAAATAAATAATTTATATTATCTGTGTATACTTTAATTGATAAATAATAAAGTATATTTTATATTTTAATTTAAAATTAAAGTAATGTTATTTAAAATGTATTAAGGAATTTAACTACAATTAGTTTTAATTGTGCATAAAAATATTTAAAAAAAACACAATAGATAATAATGATTTTACAATACTGATTCATAACAAAGAGGCATTGTAGTAAATGGTCTTTAGTTTTTATCAACTTAAATAATAATGAAAAATATTATTACATGAAAAATAGAAATAATAAAGGAGAGAAAACTATATACATAGTCATAATGTAAATAAATTTCATTCATAACTATTCACAAATAATTATATTAAATAAAATTACATAATTATCCTATTGAATTAAATATAAAAATTACCTGAATAATATATGTTATGGAATCACAACAACTTTCCAAAGTTATTCTGTGATCTTGAATTGAAAGATCTTCATCCATTTTCAGTTTATTTACAACTCCATATAAACGGTTAAACAAGTTTCTATCACTTTCAGAAGAAGAAATCATTTTTACTACACTAGGCATAATCTCACATAAACCATATCTAACATTGGACACTTGGTCATCTAGAAATTCAAATTACATTTGCAATAATAAATTATATATATTTTTTTAATAAATATCTTGATGTTAAATCCAAAAGTAAAACTATTGGATTTATTTAGATATTCAAAATGTTTTGAATAAATAAACATAAACAATTATAAATTAATAATAATAGAATTAAAAATAAATCATCATCATCATCATCATACTAGAAATGAGCTAAACACTTCAAAAAATTTAAAAAATAATGTTTTTTTTTAAGTTATTTTAGTTTATTTTTCAATAATTAAATCAAATAAATAAAAAATAATAATTATTAATTTGTGTAAAAACAATTCAAAGTAAATATTCAATCAAAAATAAAATATTACCAACTAATAACAATAATGAATTTAAGAAATATTTTTTGAAGTAGGCTGATGAAAATATACTCATGGCTTCTTGACATATAAAAATGTAAAAGATTCTATTATAAAAGTTTGAATTTGTGGCAGTTTCTGAAACAAAATACAAAAAATAATAATAATAATTATAATAATTAAATAATAATAATTTAATATAACTTGTAAATAATTTAGGACTTTTAATTTAACTCAATACTTAAGTTTTATAAATTAAGTATAAAGAAAGAATAGATAGATCATTATTACTTTGTATTTAATAATTTGAATAATATTAATTATAGGAATATTGATTAATTTTTACAAAACAAAAAGACAATTTAATTGAATTGTGCCAGTTAAATTACTGCATATGGTAAATGATAGTTACTTTATGTTACATAAGTAATAATATACTTAGATTTAAGTGCATAAAATACAAAACAATGTATTATTATTTTTATGTATAATACAGTAAATTGAAATTTTTATTAATATACTAGGAGTTAATGAAAAAAAAAAATATAAGAGTGCAATCTAAATATTATTTGCAATTATTAAGAGTTAATATTAAGATAAAATATTTTATAATTTCAGTACAGTGTTATTTATGTATTTTATTAACGTAACATAATATATACACAAAATTACAATGCGCAGACATAAAATGGTTTCATAATATGACCTATGCGCATAGACTTAAAAAAAGTTCATAAATCGGTCAAAAACTAAAGGATTTCATCAAAATATTAAGGACACTGTTCGTATGTCTTTGAGCTAGCCTGAAAAAATATATGAAAATCTCAGGTTTTAAGTTGGCAGTGAGCTTATTTCTTAAAAAGTTAGACATTTTTAAAAATTTTCGGAATGTTAAAAAAAATCTTTGCAAATAATATTCCTAGAATAATGTTTCCGAGCTCTATCATTACAATATTTATTGTTGAAAATCAGAGCTCTTTAAGTTATTTTTTTAGCCAAATTATTAATTCAGAATTTTTTTACTGAAAATTCATTTTTAAATTAGTTTAATCAATTGAATAGTAAATGCTATGAATATACTTACTATCAATCAGATGTTGTCGTAATAAAATCCTTTGATTAGAATCAAGATTGTAACGCAAAAAAGTCAATAGTAGTGAATAAATAGCTTCCTTTACTGGCTTCTGTCTCTAAAATATAAGTACAGTTTTAAGTAAAAACATTTTTCTTTATAAGATACTTATAAAAAAATTATAAACAAGGAATTATTTATTTAATTTTTTTATGCAACATAAAACATATACTGAAAAAAAGTTAAGAATGTAATCCAAGTGTTTTAAAATTTCTTTTTAAAAAAAAAGTAAAAATTTTTAAAAGAAAATTAAGTTATTAGTTAGATATATTTCACTCTATTTATAATTTTCTACAGATTTCAATGAGTTTAATTTCATCAACAAATGGAATCAAATTAATAGTTTCAATGGAAAAAATACGACATTCGTGTATTCATTATTTTTAGGCTAAACAAGAAAATTTTTAAAGACATCTTATTATAGAAAAATTTTACGTCAACAAAAATATCTTCATAAACTTTATCACAAAAGTTAATATTTTTGAGATAAAAAAAAAAACTAAAAAACTAACTTTTGGGTATTATTTTTAACACTCTTGGGGCATGCCTTAGAATTTAATAAAATTTTACACAATTATTTTTTTTATGTAATCGAACAATTCTTGGGGGTGTCACTTGGAAATATTGTTTATCCTACCAAAGGAGAGTTTAAAGTCACCCTAATATAGCATTTTTTTTTAAGTTTAAATTATAGCTACAAACATTTTAAATAAGTAGTTTCAATAACATTTTAAACATCCAGAAACAAAATTAGTAGAAAAAATTAATATTTAATGCTAAATAAAATAATTGAAGTCTAGCTTCTAAGCATATAAAATCTACAAATATTTTATTTGATTAAAGTAATTACTATAAATGTTACAAGGCTTACAAATAATATCAATAATATTAAATTATACTTACAACAGTATTAAGTCTATCCGACATAATTTTACCAACAATAAAAACTAAATCTGATGAATAACATACTGGTAATACCATAATCTGATGTAAAAATTCTACATAAAGTCTCCAATTATATTGTGCACTTAGATATTCTTCTAAAAGCATTAATGATTTCAATACTTGTTCTTGATATTTCTGATCATGAAATAATTCTTATTAAAATGTTAATAAACAATAATTTTCTATTATTACCATTTTCATTATAATAAAACTTAGATTTGGTACAATGATTTTTAAAACCTGAGTATTCCTTTCAGTTAACATTTTCATTAATACAGTAGAGATTAGAACTACTTTTTCATTCAACAAAATCAAGATCTAAAAAAAAAAACAAACAATGAAAATAATATAAGGTTTGCTTAAATAATTTAAAAATTTTTTTAAAAAAGTACCTTTTTTACAATACTTGCTAAAGCAACTCGAATATCAATGAATTCATCAGTTACAAGATCAACTAAATAATTTAGTAAATATATTAGTAATGTAGTGCTACCTTTATCTGATGATATTAACATGATAATATCTTGTAAACTGTTAGCGCATAGTTTACGTATCAATACATTTGTGCATAATCTTTCACTAACAGAGTTATCCTACAAAATACATTAAGAAAAATTATTAAGTAATATTTATATTCAGGCTAAATAATATGTTTTGAAATTAAACACCTTTTAAAGTAAGTAATGAATTATAAAAGTAACAGGAAACATGTTTTCTGTTACTGTTACATAAATATTATGTTAAATTTTGTTTGCTTTAAATTAATTTGAAGCTCGGATTATTTCCAAAACATTTTCATAAGTTAAATTTTCGTGCAAAATTTGTTACTTTGAATTCCCTCAGTTAGCAGGAAAAGGGTCAAATTTAAAAATAATATATACCCAGAGACAAGTGTTTATAAAAAAAAAAATATTGATTTGATGTGTTTTTTTTACAAAGTTATGAAAATTTAAAAAAAAAAGTTCAAAATTTACTAATTTTAAAAATTGTAATTTTTTTGGAAATTCCTTTATTTATGGGGAACGAGGAAAATTTTTTTCTATTTTAAAGGCAATATCTTTAACTAGATACATTTGGTGTACTTTTAATGTATCACTAAAAGAAATGGATCAGACGAGAGCTGAAAAAAGTAATAATAGACAAAAAACACATCATAGTTAAATTAATACCTTAAAAGCTGATTATATTAATATAAATAAATAAATAAATAATGTATTTTTAGTATAATACTATATTGAACTTACGTTGATGTTTGGTAATGCAACTGGGCTCAAGTCTAACTCCAATAATTCTTTAAATTTATTTACAAACCATGTGATATCATTCAGGTCAATATATTCTAAATAAATAAAAAAAGTTTAAGTAAAAAAAAATAATTAAAAAATTTATTTATCAATTATTCAAAAAACTAAAAATATACTTGAAAGATTAGTCATATTGTATGATCAATAATACTAGTTACAATTAGCAACTATTATTTTTTTTATGGAATAGATTAAACAAATAATTCTGTAAAAAATTTAATAAAAATACAATGCATTAATTTTAAACCAAAATGTAGAAAAATTATGTTATATCCATTTAATGTATAACATGTCATATTGTGTTATTTGTTAGTAATTAAAAATCATAACATATGACATAATTATTTTTTACGGATTCATTAGAAAATAGACAAATTATTGACTTAAACTTTTCTTTTTTCTAACCATGGTGTATAACACTATTATATATAAATAAGTTTTACCTTTCATTCTTTGACAAATGATACCTATATTTTTCGAAACACTTATTACTAATGACAAATCACTATTTGAATCAATATTGATTAACTTCTTTATCATTGGAAGAACAATTGTTATATTAATTTCTCTGGGAAAACATATAATGATATCTTTCATCACTTCGAGCATAGCTACTTTTATTTTAAAATCAGCATTATTGGCCAAGTCTACAATAGCTGGCAGCAAGATACATTCATTTCTATCATCCGCACTTTCTTTCAGAAATCCTATAATCTTACTTAATTCTTGACATACTGTTTTTCTAACTAAAACACTTTCATCTTGACATAATGATAAAATACATGGCCATATTTCACGTTTAATTCTAAATAAAAAGTTTATATTAAAACTTCATTTAATACATCAAAAATAATTAATTTACACAAATTTATTTAATTTTGTAGCAAGAGAGCCAAAAATTCGGCAACTTATTAAACGTAATGATTCTGGCTTAGAAATTTCACTTCGCTCGATTGCAAATGGTAAAATCTAAAGTTAAAAATATATCCAATAAAATATAATATATATATACTTCAAAATACATAATTAAAGATTAAAAAAATTAATTACTTCATTTTGTAAATAATCTGAAGGTAAGAATTCAATAAAATCAAGCAGTGTGTCTAGCCAAGTGTTGGTTACAGCTACACAAGTTTAAATTTATTTAAAAAAGTAACAATAATAAAATCAAACATAAACATATTATAGTTCTAATCTATTATAACTGTCAAATTAAAACATTTTCTTACTATCATTATTAATTGATGAATTATCCAAAGCAGATAATATTGTCGATAGAAAAGTTTGTTGAAATATGTCAGCTGAAAGCAGTTGTTTTTTTAAAATGTTTCTCACCGCTTCGGTCGCTTTAAAATGGCTTTCAACAATATCTTTAGATTCATTCTAGTAATTTGAATATCAATTGTATTAATTAAACAATACTTCATGTAACAACAATAAATAATAAATAAATATACTTCTTGCATTCTTTAAACAATAGACATCATTTTAATTGTCAAATACGTAAAATTTATTAAAGATATAATTTTCAATAATTTGAGTAACATTTTTATTCAATAAGTATAAACATGAAACTGGTAGCAATAAAGCAACTGTAATTCGTAATGAGATATACTGAAGACGTAGCATAAAACTTGAATTTATTTCTGGAATGACTCACAAGTAATGACGATGGGTAACAAAGGAGTAAATGTGAACAAAAATAAATATTAGTAACGGTAAACACAGCAGACCAAAACGTATTTAGTAAATAATGTAAGCTTAAATGTCGTAAATCACGTTTGTCTAGGTGTAAACTAAAATTAGTGACACATCACGTCGGGCTGCCGACAAATAGATGATAAGAAGTTCCTGATAGATAAAATGTTGATGATAAAGTACGTTTACTATATATCTCTGCAATAGTATCACGAACTATATGAAAATGACTGAGGTATATTCTACTTTCAGTATTTTATGAATGAATTATTCGTTAGTCATACTAATTACTCTATTTTTAAGAGCATTATCAGGGGCGTATTATAGTTGAACGATAAATCCAGTTGAGATGCATGCACTGCACCAGGGCCTTAAAATTTTTGAGGCTCACATTTTTAGCGTGTTTTTAAAAATTATGAATGACTTAATTTTTCATTCAAAATAGTCACAATTTAGTTTTTAATACAAAACTAAGGAGTTATTAATTTTACTGTATGTGTTTGTATATTTTTACTTTTTGCGAGTGCGCTTCGTATGTTTAGTTTTAAAAATCTAAGCTAAGCAATGATCAATATAACAAACTAGTGTTTAATTTTATCTTAAATATTTTGTTCTTTGTTATCTTTAAAAAAAAAGATAGATAGCTTTTGATGATATTAATTCTGGTATAATATTAAATTTATTGTACCAATTAATATTTTAACATCACTCATCATAAGGTGTATTTTAGTTTTATTAATTATATGTTAATTTGGTATTATAAAAGGTGTTTAATTTGTATCTGTGCTTTTATGTTTGTAATATTCTTATTTCTCTGATAGCTTTACATTTATAAATTTTGAATTGATAGATATTTGTGATGAGTTAAAAAAAATAATTTTTAGTATAATATCATTTTAAAAATTTACTTTTCTTAATGTTTCATAGTATGAGAAATTTGTTATGCTACATTAACTTATTACTACATGGAAAGAATAAAGCAGGTAGATGACAAACAAAGAAATGTGTTTATTAACAAGATTGACGCATTATGAAAAATGTTAACAAAAATATGTCAGAGGAAGAATTAGTATGTAATGTAATAAAAAGTTAAAAACCCAGTATTGCTAGATACATTGGAATACTTGAAAACCGTAATTTAGATGAGCTAAAAAGAAATATTCGTAAGTATGAGATGATAGAATTTATTATTACTGAAAAAACGCTAATTTCAAAATAATGTTATTTAAAAAATTTACTATTCTTAATATCTAACAGTATGAGAAAGCTGTTATGATACATTAACTTCTCATTGTGATTCTTATTTGTTAAGAAAAATGCATTTTACACACTAAGTATTGCACTTAGAGCAATAACACCCATTATAAAAACGAAAGAGAACAATATTTTGGAGATGATCTCATATGCGTTTTTGGATATATTGTATTAGTAAAGAGTTATAATTGATTGAAGTTTAATAAAAAAGTACATTTTCAAATTCAATTATCAAGCTTAATATTAGGTAATCCCAAAATGGCTATGAGATTGTCTTCGAAATATTGTCCTCTTTTAATTTTTTAATAGGTGTTAGAGCTCTAAATGTAATACGGAGTGAGTAAAATGCATTCTTTTAAGATATGTTTTAGAACACTTTAGTAGATTTTTTTGTCGACTAGTGCTGCTCCTATAGATTATATTTAAAAAATATAAACAAATGATGGTGCGGCGTGCGGTGTGGCTCAATATTTTGCCGAAAACGTTATCAATATTTCTTTAAATAATTTCGCTAACACGTGCGGACCAATTTTTATACGCTTTTATTAGTTTCACATGTATGTTGTATGTTGTATGTAACTTTCCAAACGCCACGCGTTATCGCATATTCCGTTGTCTAGACTAGACTGTTATACGCATTCACCCCTCCCCACGCCTCGCTCACAATACGACGGTACACTATTCCTATAAAAATTTATTTTTAGTTATCGTACCCGTACACGCGTGCTTGTCATCAATATTATATATATGTAAACAAATTTTTATTTTGACTGACCAATAACGCCCGCGTCTAATGCGCCTTACGTATATATATATATATTCCTACCGCCGTTTATACCTCGGGTATAACGTTAGTCCGACCCGCCCGGCCATAAAACACAGCTATACTTAGTGCATGATACTTTTACGTAGTTAAGTCGCATTATTTGTATAAATATATATATTCTAATTACTATTAAAATTAATATATTAACACGATTTATTCTAATTAAGAGATATAAAGTATTCATTCCGATTACGAGGGATGATTTCCGTATCGTCATTTTTCGTCACTACCTCCACGTTCCGGGAGTGAGTAATTTACGCGCCTGCTGCTTTCCTTGGATGTGGTAGCCGTTTCTCAGACTCCCTCCCCAGAATCGAACCCTGATTTCCCGTTACCCGTAACAACCATGATATTGATAGTAACTACTATCATAACATGAAACTAAAAAGTAAAAAATAAATATAGTTTAAAAAACTAAAAAAACACGCTTTTAAAGTACATCGAACTAAAAAGTTAAAAATAATTTTTAAAATAATTATGAACAAAAAATACTAGTATTATTGTGATAAAAGCGTGGGTGCTTTGTGCCATATTTTTCGTATATTGAGCGCCCGACGCTTTTATCACAATAATACTAGTATTTTTTGTTCATAATTATTTTAAAAATTATTTTTAACTTTTTAGTTCGATGTACTTTAAAAGCGTGTTTTTTTAGTTTTTTAAACTATATTTTTTTTAATATGCTTATATTAGTTTCACATGTATGTTGTTTGTTGTAAGTTTGTAACTCCACGCGCTACGTGTTATTATGTCGCGTATCCCGTCGTCTATGGCCTTGAGACTAGACTGTCGTAACGCATTCACCCCGCCCCGCTCACTATTCGCCACCAACACTATTTTCCTGTATAATTTTTGGTTTTCGTACCCATACATGCAGGCGTATCATCAATATTATATAGATAAACAAATTTTTATTGTTTATTATTAGACATCAACATTTAAAGATCAATTTTAATATATATGTATAATATATATGGGATTACAAATACAGGTAGCTAATTGGTTATTTAAGACGATATTAGCAAGCATATAGCCTTTATTATTAATGGTAATAAGACACATTGTTGTGAGTTTATAAACACACTAACTGGCAATACAGAAAGTATATCCATTAATAGTGATAATTGACAAACACTCCGTTACTGTAACAGCGATGTCATAAAAAACTAAAAAGAGAAAAATAAATATATTTTAAAAAAACTGAAAAACACGCTTTTAAAGCATATCGAACTAAAAAGTTAAAAATAAGCTTAAAACAATAATACTAGTATTTTTCGTTCATTGTTGTTTTAAGCTTATTTTTAACTTTTTAGTTCGATATGCTTTAAAAGCGTGTTTTTCAGTTTTTTTTTAATATAATTTTATTATGCCAGCACTTAATGTTTGAATTGTTATTACTTTTCAGAATTTTTATTAAATATCGTTCCTGATGATAATATAATATCTGTATTTCTCCTATTACTAATGAATAAAGATATCATGCCAAGTCCTTTGACTTGATTAAAAAAAATCATAAATGTATCCCCAACTATGCTTTATGTGCTTAAAGTGAATTAAGCAAAACTAATTTTGTCGTATCTACTGCAGCACTGTTTGTCGCGAGTTGTACGAAATATTTTCAAGCATTTGGGCTAAAATTATTATTAAAGTGTGGTGTTGTACTTGGGTTTTTTAAATGGGTAGTAAAAAAATAATTTCTAATAAAAAAAAAAATTATACGTCAATTAGTTCTAAAAAGATATAACAAAAATTCAAAGTAAGTATATTATTTATTGATGTAATAGCGATAGCTGTAATTCAATCAGATCCATAAAAGGGCAGATAGACGATTCTTCATTAATAGAGAAATATTAGATTGTGTCCCAACTAAAAAAATTTTTCGCTTTGCAATTCATCGCTGTTCCTGTGCTCATTTTTTATATATTCAAAATTTTTTGCTTCGATGCGAAACTGAGATAAAATTAATTTTACTATGATATGTTTTTTTTTTGTGTCTGTCACCAACTTTTCTCAGCTCTTACTGGACCGATTTTAATGAACAATATGTCAAATTAAAATTCTCAATTTCATATTTTATATTTTTAACTTTAAAATGCTATAACGTTTTGGAAAATGTTAAAATATGGATCAATACAATTTTTTATGAGAAATAATATTTATATCCCTCTTTCATTCGACATACTTTATCTTAATCAGGATATAAATAGGGAAATAACAAATCATGTAGCTTTTGAGGCTCTAGGGTCCTAGGTCTGAGCGGAGCCCTAGCTAGGTAAAGCCTAGTAGTTTTTTGATCAATTATAACCTAAAGAAAATATAAAATTTGTTTTAAATTATTAAAATAAAACATCAAGTGAGAAAATGGGTTCATTAGTGTCATTAATTAATTACATTTGTTAGTAGATGAGGCTCAACGCTTAATTTTATTTAAAATTTTATGTTATCTAAGCGCACCACATATTTCACGGGATCGGACGTATACGTCGTTAGTTATTATTTTATTAACAATATACGGTTAGTTCCAAATTGAAATTTAGTGGAAGTCGGACGACAAGAGGCAGCAGATGGATAATATCATACGTCGGTAGTTATTATACAGTAGAATTGTGGCCCTTTAAATTATTTTGAAGTTCTCGTCAGTAGCAGACGGACTGTGTTTTAGGCTACCCTGACAATTACAATAACTTTTGATCTAGTCATATTTTGCATTATTATTATTTTTTAATAATTGTTATACGTTGAGACTGTATAAACTATAATAATAAATAATAGTTTTGTAATATTCTTTTATATTACTTAATAAAATCAATACATTTCACCTACGCTTAGCAAAGATATACTGACGCCGCTGAGGCGTGTAATCATCTAATTTTTGTTTACAGAATCCTTACCAAATAAGCTATAAATGAGCTCATACAATTTCACATAAGAATTAGCTGTACAACTTACTACTCGTAATTATTTGTTTGCATATCCTAAACAAACAAAGATGTAGCTCAAATCACTCCTTGCACCGCATTGTAAAAGACACGTTTCTTTTAATTAAATTAATTATATTGTCACATAAAGTTTTATTACTATGATTCATTATAATAGACCTAAGAGCCGTCTAGGACCTGATCTGTTCTTTGACATGCGTCAAAGTCTCATTCTCATTTTTTCTCCTCTCACGACTACACTCAAGTGCTTAGCTTTACTCTCCTTTTTACTTTGCAGTTTTTCTTTACATTATACTTTAATACTTCTATTATGATATGGTGTCTCTTTATTAATATAAGTCTATAGTTAAATTGAAGATACATTCTTGTTAAAATATTTATTTATTCACTTATAATACACGCTTGTGTAACAATCTATTTTTCTTATTTAATATTTAATAAACCTGCACTATTCATCTTTCCTCTCTACACCGTAGACCATGTTTTGTTGTCAGGGAATATCAGGTAAGAGTAGTTTTAACACACAAACTACACTAATCCAGTAATTACTAGAAACAAAGTACTTTTAGCTTCGATGCGAATCTGAGAAGGTATTAATTTTACCATGATGTGTTTTTTTTTTTTATGTCTGTTGCCACTTTTTCTTAGCTCTCACTGGGCCGATTTCTTTCAACAATACGTTACATTACCCTTAAAAATTGAAAAAAATTCCCTCGTTCCCCGCAAATGGGGGAAATATCCAAAAAAATTACAAATTTGAAAATCGGTTAATTTTGTCATTTTTTTCTTAAAACTTCCATAACTTTTTCAAAAATAAACAAATCAACATAATTTTTTTTATACTAAAACCTTAGATATTTTCCTTTCATTTGATATCATTTTTTGAAAATCTAACACTTAACCTACTCATTGGAGGGGATTTAAAATGGCAACTTTTTTACAAAAAATAACTTTTTCAACTTAATTTTTGAAAATGTTCCGGAAATACTGCGTCCTTTAAGCATATATAAAATTAAAGCTTATTTTATTTACTACAAAATGAAAAAAAAAAATTTGTCCCGACGACCTATCTTCTATGCGCAAATGACTACCGTATTCAAAAATATGCTATTTTTGTAATAAAATCCTGGGTTTTGTATTTTATTCTATTTTAAAATATCTTATAAGTGCAATACACTAACTTTCATGAATATTATATAATTCAATTGACATAGAATAAAGTTCATAAGACATAAGAAATTAAACTTATTTAAACTTTTTTACTTTTTTAAACTTGAAAAAGTAATATTTAAATTTGTTTAAATTACTAATTTTATCACGCGTCGAAAGCGACGAACAGTTGCCGAATGGGTAACACATCTGTGTCTTTCACGCTTAGGGTACGAGGTTCAAATCCGTCTTGCTTTTTTTTTTGAGTTAGAATAAAATTTTCAAATCATTTGATATTTATCTCATTTAGATTCAATAACTTCAATAAATATAAAGGATCTTATCACTATAGTCTCCCCTCGTGAGTAGAAATATTATTTTACTATGTGGTTCTTTTTGTGACTACGATTAATTTTGACAACCATCACTAGACCTACTTTTTTCAGCGATACGTTAAATGATTACAATTCGTATTTAGTTTAAGTTATTACTCTTAAAAATCGAAAAAAATTTTCCTTATTCAATTAAAATCATTAATTTCTAATATTCTTATAGTATTTATTGTCGAATTAGATTTGATATGATAAAAGTATTCAACCACAAAAGTAAATAATTTTACTTTGAAATTTATTAATTTTTTTTCTCTATTTGTGTGTGCTACTAACAGTCTATAACATTCCACATTTTTTCGTAGCATGTTGCTATATAAATCATAAATCTAAAAAAAAAATGATTTTTTGTTTCACCTAAATTTAACAATGGATGAAATAAAAAATTTACTGTAAATAGTAATTATAAAATTTCCTGATTGCATATTAATCTTATCAATACCATTTTTTTTATTTAATGATGTCAATTTCAAACTTGTGAATTGAGCTAAAAATTATGGTAATAAATTCATTTTTTTTTTTTTATTATAAAACTTCACTTTAAAGGACGAAATAAAGAAGGTTAAAAATTATTACTTTTATCATATTAACAACATACAAACATACACGTGAAACTAATATAAGCGTGTTAAAAATCAATATCAATAATAATTTGAAATATAAATTTGAAAACAATTCAATATAACAATTAAATAATATATAATTTTATATTATATTTTTGAATTTAAGAATTACTAATCTGGATAAAATTAAAGAAATAGTTGTTGTATCTTTCGTAATTATCCACCAATTTCTTAGAATTAAACATTATCTACAGATTTGCATCGAAGTGTTTTTTTTTATAAAATACTCTGTTATAAATAACAATTTTCCATTAAAATTCAGTAACGCACAATTTATAATTTTTTCTACTACAAACGTAGAGCTCAAAATATTAAAACTATAATTTAATTAATATTGTCCGTGTTTTAGGCCATCCTAATTGTCAGAACATAGCGGACTACTCTGATTATGTATGTAATGTATGACGTTTTCAAACAATGCGATATACATTAATAAATTCAACTTAATTATATTCTAATAATTTTAGACAGTAAAATGACTTCTATAAAATTGGACTGCGAGTTTTTCTATGTAGACCATCATTACATAGGATGTTCAGTAAGTTAGGAAACAAGAAAATTGTTACAAACAATGAGAATAATAGAAACTCGTTTCTTTACTTATTGAACACTCTATATGCTAAAAACTGAATAAATTAATGAAATACTTTCTATAATGCATAAATGTGTATTATTTTAAATAAAAGTTTACAAATCTTTTTTCAATTATGATTACTCAAATATATTCTTAAAATTTATAAATTTTTCATAGGTTTAAAAGAAAATATCCTATACATTTTACTTTAAAAATATATATTCAGCTGGTAAAATTCTTGTAATTTATACACATGTTATTATTGATCATTTATTTATTATTGGACATTTTTAAACTAAGTTTAATATGTCCTAATAAATCTTTCATTATATTATTATGTGACTGTTATTAAAAAATATTTTTAAAAAATAACAAATTTTCAACATGGTTTTAAATTTAAGTAAAAGGTAGTATGGTGATGTTGAAAAGAAAGGCTATGGCATTTACTATGCCTGTTAAGTGTCTTTAAACTAGAGAAATAATGTCTATCTAACTTCACCTGAAGATTCTCTTTGTTATACTAAGTATACTTGGTATAACAACATAAAACTAAAAATCCAGAATCATTTTCATTGGTGAATGATAGTCTTTTGCTATTGAATTTATATTTAGATAGAAAAATATACTTGATTAAATATCATTAAAATAAATTATTTACAGTTCCTAAATAATTTTTATATACATTGGATATCCTCTATAGAGGATATCTACTGAAATTTTTTCGATTTTCTAAAATTGTCTTGACCCAATTTATTATTTTAATTTAACTGCTGCTTTAGTCTTAACAGCTAACCTTATGTTCAAATATTTTAGCATAGTAGGTAAATATATTTGGCTGAAGTTACAAATAAAAATATTGCAGCACTCCTGTAAAATATATTTTGGTTTTTCAAAACAAATGTTTGACGATCATTACTTATTCAATACATAAAAGTATAGAATTTTATAATAAAAATATATGAACAATCAATTTTTTTAACAAATTACTGACTACTAATAAATTAAGTTCATTGTTCAATTTTTTTTTCATTGATAATTTGAAAAAACTACTCTTTTTGGAAAACAATAAGTACTTAACATGGTATGTACAATGAGTTAAAAATAGAATGATGTGAATTTTAAATTACTAATGAAAAGTTATTTTTTAAAAATGTTTTATTTAATTTTTTTTTATGTGTAATATTTATATTAATATAACATTTTTATACTTATGTGCTAATTTTTAACTATTACAGAATATGTATATCATCATTTCAATGATTTTAGCAGTTTTTTTTGTTACTGGTAACTTTATTTTGTTTTTTATCATAAAATCAATGTAACAGCACAGATAAGATAAACCTTGTTTGTGGTAATAGTGTAGTAACTATGGGCTAATGAGATGATAGGCCGCTATGATATATTAATAAAATAAAGAAAACAAGTTCACAATATTAGACAGTAGATGAATTTTCCAAGAACTTTTAAGTTCACCCAAAAAATATTTTTGTATACATAAATATTTTTATTAGATATTTTAAATATTAAAGATTGTAATATTTATACTTTATTTTATTTATTATTTTTATGAATAATTATTTCGCATACTATCTTTAGTTTATAATTATACGAAATATATCGTTTTGTTTTGTTATTAATTACACTAAAAAAATAAAATAATTGTATAATAAAAATATTTATAACCACGGTCATTTATTAAAATTAAAACGTTAAATCACATGAATAAAAATTGTCTACATACAATATACATTATGAAAGCGATGTCAATTTTAAACACGTTCTATAAATTTCAAAACAAAATTTTTTTTTAATTCCTTCTTTTTTCTTTAAAATATATCAAAAAACTCTTTCAAGTGGAAACATATATGTTTAACCAGAATAAAAATATAGTTTAAAAAAACTAAAAAAACACGCTTTTAAAGCACATGAAACTAAAAAGTTCAAAATTATTTTAAAAATAAGCTTAAAACAATAATGAACGAAAAATATTAGTATTATTGTGATAAAAGCGTCGGGCGCTCAATATACGAAAAATATGGCACAAAGCACCCACGCTTTTTTTCACAATAATACTAGTACTTTTCGTTCATTATTGTTTTAAGCTTATTTTAAAAATTATTTTAAACTTTTTAGTTCGATATGTTTTAAAAGCATGTTTTTCAGTTTTTTTAAACTATATTTATTTTTCACTTTTTAGTTGCATGTTATGATAATAGTTAATATCAATATCATGGTTGTAATGGGTAACGGGAAATCAGGGTTCGATTCCGGGGAGGGAGTCAGAGAAACGGCTACCACATCAAAGGAAAGCAGCAGGCGCGCAAATTACTCACTCCCGGAACGTGGAGGTAGTGACAAAAAATGACGATACGGAAATCATCCTTTGTAATCGGAATGAAAACACTTTATATCTCTTAATGAGAATAAAGCGTATTAATATATAAGTTTTAATAGTAATTAGAATATATATGTATATGCATGTAAAGCGACTTAAGTACGTAAACGTATCATGTACGAGGTATAGCAGTGTTTTGTGGATGGGCGTGGCGAGGGGAACGTTATACACGAGGTATATACGGCGGCAGCGGCGTCGGCTATAGGGATATATAAATGAATATTAATATATATTAATATATGAATATTAATAAATATTAATATATATATATTTGTATATATATATATATATATTAGGGTGGTCCTTAGTTATAGAAGAAAAAATTTTTTTTAAGAAATTCAGAGTCATGGGCTCAAAATTTCGTTAGGTTCACTGAAAAAATGAAACTGGTAAAATTTGAGTACAATAAGACAACCCCTTCACGTGCCTCAAAGGGGTTGAAGTTCTTCAAAAATGGGGTGGATTATCTTTTTTGAGTGTACGCTCTTTATTTTTAAAGTTTCGCCAAAAACAAAACGAACAATTTTTATAGAACTAAATGTGAACAAAAAATAAGGTAATATATTATTTTTTTGTAAAATTACTATTTTTCGTAAAAATCAGTTTCACTTAATTTTTTTTAAAAAATGACATAGTTTTCAGTTATAATTTTCCAGTGTCTTAAATTTTATTTGTACACAGAAATTGTACAGAAGTAATATTAATCACCATGATATCTTCTATAAAAAACGTTATTTGAGTTTTTTTTTGAATTATGAATCCTTTCCAAAAAAAAATTTAAAACAACTACGAANATTATGAATCCTTTCCAAAAAAAAATTTAAAACAACTACGAAAACGTGTTTTTTTTTTTACATTTTTTTGCATGTATGTTTTTTTGTTTATAAACGAACAAATTTTCTTATATAGGTATAATACACAAGGGATTACAAATACAGGTAGCTAATTGGTTTTTTATGATATTGCTATCACAGTCACGGATTGTTTATTATCAATTATGACTATCAATAGATATACTTTTTGTATTGTCAGTTAGTGTATTTATAAACTCACAACAATGTACCTTACTATCATTGATCATAAGAATGATGTGTACCTGCTAATATCGATGTCATAAAAAANTCATAAGAATGATGTGTACCTGCTAATATCGATGTCATAAAAAATCAATTAGCTACCTGTATTTGTAATCCCTTATGTATTATATCTATATATTAACTCAAAAATTTGAAACTTTAAATGTTTATATCTAATAAACAAATTAAGTTTTATTAAAAATTCAAATGCCATTTATTATTGAATTAAAAACTCAAACATTTTATTAAATTAAAAATATGTGTTACCATTTAAAAGAACAAAGTTGACACCCTTACCAGGCATAGGGGATGAACTTAATAAGTATTACATAGTTAATAATTCAAGAATAATGTGTAACTAAAGATAATAATAAAAAAAAATTTTTAATTATTATTATTCTGTAAGTAATTGAGTGGGTTATGATAAAAAAATCACTCTGTATATTTAAGAAATCTTTGATTTACATTTTTTAATCCATTTAGTTTTAACGTGTGTTTTAATTATTTACAGAAACCATAACTAATGCAAATCGTAAGTAATAATTTTTGCAATTCTTTTTCTGTAGAAAATTTTTTATTATTATCTTTGATGTCAAACTAATTTAAGAGTCAAATATTAAAAAGGTTCTATTAATTTTTTTGTAAAAATGAAAGAATATAGAAATACTGTATTTGAAACATTTCTGTTAAAAAAAAGCGATTTAGTTATTAATAAATTTAAATTGTTAAAAAATTTAGTCATAAAAGTTTTATAAAGTAGACTTCAATATCATTATCTTTTGCGTTAATTTTATGAATATTCGATTGAAAGTTAAATGAACACTAATTTAATAAAAAACATATTTTCATTAAAATTTTTAACATCTATATTTTCTGCGATAGCGGTTGTCTGGTACGCATGTGTTTTTTTCGCGCTCCCGATATTTTATTTTATTTGTCTCTCTTTTAATTAATTAATTCACTTAATAATACCTGTAAATGGCGTTTGGAAATGTGGTAGTCACGTTTCTTAATCGTTTACTAGCATAATTAACCCAAAGTGCCCCAATTACGTTTAATATAGTTCACTCATTTCGGCGAATTACGTTAGACACATTGAGGTTCACCACGGCCGTCGCGGCAGCGGCCTCGATAATTTTACAGTTGTACGCTATCACGTGTACTCGTTATCGTATTATATATATCAATACTCTCGCCACAATGTCTAATAATAAGCTATTGTTTTTGATGATTACATTGAGCATTCGTTGGACAATTTGTTTTGTTTTTGTTATAATGGAGATGACCACTCCTATTTCCATTTTTGATGTGTCATTATATACCTTTTGATAATTTTTATATTCTGCAAGGAAATAACTTTTTATATCATTAAGAATTATTCTTATTATATCAAAAACATATGTAACTAAATGTACCGAAAAAAAAAATAAAATAGTATTTTTGATTTTGCGAGTAATTATGTTGGTTTATATTATTACAAATTAAAGTATTATTACATTTGTAACGTGATTACTAATTATGTCAAATTTGTTAAATATGGTTAATTATAAAATTGATATTTTGTTACACAATAAAAAAATTTTCATTTTTTTCAGATTTCGCACAAAAAGCTCTAAATTTTAAAAGTAACTAAAATGTTAAATATTAATTATTGTTATCAACATTCATTTCTCCAGATAATTAACAAAATGAAACATACATGCAGGATTAATGTTAGAAATCGCTAAATATTTATTACTAATTGTACATGAATATTCTTATAAAGCGTTATTAATTTAACTATTGTTTTTCGCTTCAGCAAACGTGTCGAAAAATGCAAGTAAGTTAAATTTGATAGACAGGAAAATTTGTTTCTAGTTAGCGACTTATCTTTTATTAAAACTAAAAATCGTATTTTAATATTGTTGGTATCACGCCAACTTCAGATTAAAAAAAACATACGTTTAATATTTAAGTTACAAAAACATTCACGTACGAAATAACCAAAATATTGAACATTCAAAATAGTATGACTTCGATTAAATAAGAATATTGAAGTTCAAATAATAGAATATTATCAATAAAATATACAAGTAGTGTAAAGTAGGGAAAGATGGAGGAAGTTACAATTTTTATGATGTTGGAAATATGCTTAACTAAGAATCTGGTAGTTGATGATAAAATTCTTAGAAGTTGATTGCTTTTGTTATCATAAAAATGTTTATCATAATTTCGATTTGACACCTCATTTAGTCATACCTCTCCACTACTCACTGATCAAAAGGCGTGAGGGTGAGTCGAAGGATCTGTTTTTCTCCATTTTACCCTACTTATATAAATTATTACTGTATTAATTTTAAGAAAAATTAAAGATTTATAGTAAATAAATACTAGTAATTCCATAAATCAGTGCTAATATTTTTTATAATACAGGTGATTTTTTTATCATAACCCACTCAATTACTTGCAAAATAATAATAATTTAAACATTTTTTTTTTTATTATCATTAGTTACACATTATTCTTGAATTTTTAACTATGTAATAATTTTTAAGTTCATCCCTTATGCCTTGGAGGGGGGTAAACTTTGTTTTTTTAAATGGTAACACATATTTTTAATTTAATAAAATGTTTGAGTTTTTAATTTAATAGTAAATGGCATTTGAATTTTTAATATAACTTTATTAGCTTATTAGATATAAACATTTAAAGTTTCAAAATTTTGAGTTAATATACATGTATAATACACATGGGATTGTAAATACAGGTAGCTAATTGGATTTTTATGACATTGCTGTCTCAGTCACGGATTGTTTATTATCAATTATGATTATCAATAGATATATTTTCTGTATTGTCAGTTAGTGTATTTATAAACTCATAACAATGTGCCTTACTACAATTGATAATAACAATGCTGTGTACCTGCTAATATCGATGTTATAAAAAACCAATTAGCTACCTGTATTTGTAATCCCTTGTGTATTATACCTGTATATTAATTCAAAAATTTGAAACTTTAAATGATTATATCTAATAAACGAATTAAGTTATATTAAAAATTCAAATGCCATTTACTATTAAATTAAAAACTCAAACATTTTATTAAATTAAAAATATGTGTTACCATTTAAAAAAACAAAGTTGACCCCCTTCCAAGGCATAAGGGATGAACTTAAAAAGTATTATATAGTTAAAAATTCAAGAATAATGTGTAACTAAAGATAATAAAAAAAAAAAATGTTTAAATTATTATTATTCTGCAAGTAATTGAGTGGGTTATGATAAAAAATCACCCTGTATATACAGTGTCAGTATCAATTTGGAGAGAGTCTCCTAATTTGGACTACTTTAGAATTCTAGGTCTTGTCTAGAGAATTAATACAAATGATAAATGAAAAGTAGGATTAAAATAATACCTGCATTTGTGATCAATAATTTGGCATAGTTGAATTAGTTTTTTTTAGTTCTAAGTGTAATTTTTTTGGTTGAAAATACCGACCACACTGGAGGTTCGGTATAGTTGTAGTAAGTATAGATAACGCTGATTAACATTATTATCATAAAAAATGCTTCGATGCCATTTCGCTAAATTTCACAATAATTTTATACAGGTGATTTTTTAATTTATNACAATAATTTTATACAGGTGATTTTTTAATTTATTAATCATTAATCATATAATTAATAAAAAAATAAAAATAAAAATAAAATTAATAATTTATTTCTTGGTTCTCTATAGGTACATGTTATCTCAATTTTCAATCATTATATTTTTGTTCTACCCTTAAATTTTATAAGTGTGTCATCTTTGTTTTTCAAAATGGCAAAGTGTAATATACTGGTAATGTTAATAACATCTAATGTATTGGTTTAGATGCTATTAAAATATAAAAAATACTCTATGAATGTTAAATATTAAATAAAAAATGTATCTAAAAGGAACCAAAATTTATATGAATAATATAATGTTATTTAATTATTGTTGATATAAATGAAAATGTTTAGTTCTGTCTAAGAATAAATAATCAGTATTCATTTTATTTAAATGCCATAATTTTTCTAGTTAAATATATAATGTAACCTATTGATATCAATATTAGTAAGTTTACGTTTAAAATTAAATGTTTGACTTTGATTTCGGTAATATTGTATTTAAAATATATGGCGTCTAAATTAGGAAACATTAAATGATCTGTATTATGCAAACAAAAGTGGTCCAACTTAGACGACTCCTTAAATATCCATTGACTGAACAAAGAAATAAATTTCTATTAAATAGTGATAAATCATGAAATAATCGAAAAATAAATCATTTATAATTTTGTAATTTCTTTTCAAATTAGTAACCTTATCTAAGAATGCAAGTAAGTAATTTAGAAATTTCTATTGACAGTTATTTAGTCATTTGCATTAAAAAAATATATACACAAATAGGATTATGTTTTAAAAATCTGAGACTTTGACATAATGCAGTCAATATGTTTATGCATCCATTTGTTGTAATAGCATAACATTTAGAATCTTAGAACTAAAGATATAACAATTATTGCTAAGGTGGCCGTAGTTTCCCCTATTCTCCCATAATATTATTAATAGGGTTTCTTTTACTTCATGTACCTGTAAGCTAGTAATTGATTGTTTAGCAGGAGAATATAGGCTAAACGATTATAAAAATTTCCTATTTTTATTATGATAAAAGAGATAAAATTTTAGTGAAATTTCTAAAACATAGCAATTGTAAAATTACGAATATATTCATTTATGTGAAATTAAACATATTTGCATCAAATATGTTAGTTACTAACTGATGTTAGTCATTATTAGATATTATCTATTCTGAGTTATTAGCATGTCAGAAACTACTCGATTTCTTGCCAAATAAATATAATATTGAAAAAATATACATATATTTTTTAACTTATAAGTTACTAGTTAATTTTTAGAATCATCCTTTAAACTTATGGGATGTCAACTTAATTTTTTAAATGGCAACATACATAATTAACTCGTTTATTTAATAGATATTTAATGATACGACTAAAAAAATTACGTATCGATAATAATATTTCGACTAGTATTTCGGAAATATTAACGTTTTATAATCAAGGCTGGAGGTGAACGTGTGTGTTGTTATTTTTATTACTAGTAATTTCCTGGCCGTATTCTTCTTCCCGCCTAGGAAATATTTTACATTGTATCCTTTATAAAAATCAATGAACAAATTAATCACTTTAAAACAAACTATTTATTTTTGTTAAGATAAATCATAATCAATTTTTTTTTGAACTTTGAATAAAAATGTATTTTTGTTTAGTTTTTCACATCATTTAGCATATTTTGGTGTTAGAAACATTGTTATAGCTTTAAAATTACGATTGTAAATTTAAAAAAGTCATGTGAACACATTAGTGTACAAAGGATTTGAAAGACTTAAAGAATTTTTGGTGTAACTTAATATTATAATCCAATGTCTTTCCGAATTTATATTATTAATTATACCTGTTTTTAGAGCGTATCTTAGCAAAATTTTGTTTAATGAATAATTTACAACATGTTCATGGTATGAAATATTAACTTTAAGATTTTTTTAAAATTTGATGACGTATTCGATTTATTTTTAGAGGATAATTCAGAAAATGAAATGAATGATGTATTAATTGATAGATCAATAAACGAAGCTATAAATTTATCAAGAAATATGTCTATTGATTATCAAAGAAATGAAGTTTTTGATACCCAAAATCCTTTAATTATAGATAGATCAAATAATGTAATTACAGACTTAACAGATTTTGTAATAAGAAACGACGATTATGATTATGATCCATTTTTAAAAGCTGATTTTTCAAATAAAAGTAAAATAACTTATTTTTAATCTCAGTTTAAGGTTCAATTAATTAGTTTATTTTAATATTTTTAGTACTAAATACTATATTACAAGACTGGCCAGAAGATAAAGGTAATAAAGCTAGTATTATTTACATTAAATAAGTTACTCGTATTTCATAACTTGATATAAATATATATTTCGTATGACATAGTATGAATAACACTTTTTTATCTTACTAAGTTATTAAAAAAAATTACAAATAGTTCATAGTAACTTAACAAAAATAAATAAATGAATAGTTGTATACAATCAAATAAAACGGTAGCACAGTGGGGTCGCGGCATAGTGGAGACATTGCATAGTTGGGTTCAGTCTAGATTTAATCTGACAGTGATTAAAATCACTATCATAAGAAACGCTTCGATGCAAATCTGTAGATAGTGATTAATTTTAAAAAATTGTTGGATAATTGCAAAAGCAACATCAACTTCTATTAAAATAAAATACAAAACCCATAATTTTCATACAAAAATAGCATATTTTTGAATATGGTAGCCATTTGCGTATAGAAGATAGGTCGTCGGGACAAATTTTTTTTTTTCATTTTGTAGTACATAAAATAAGCTTTAATTTTATATATGTTTAAAGGACGCAGTATTTCCGGAACATTATCAAAAATCAAGTTGAAAAAGTTATTTTTTGTAAAAAAATTACTATTTTAAATTCCCTCAGTGAGCAGAATAAGTGTTAGATTTTCAAAAAAAATTATATCAAATGAAAGGGAAATATCTAAGGTTTCAATACAAAAAAATATTATTTTTATTTGTTCATTTTTGAAAAAGTTATGGCAGTTTTAAGTACAAAAAACATCCCGATAAAAGGTCATTTTTATCGCAAACATTACATTTTTTTTTAAATTTT